AATGCGGTTTGTCAAACACATTGTGTCTGAAATCCTTTGTTGGGAGAAGGGGAGAGAAAGAGATTATAAAATGCCTCAAAACCTTCAATAAGGCCATTCCCAGGTTTCTTGTATCTGTTCAGCCAAACAAAACATTCATACCTCACTGCAATGTATAGGATGGTCTAGTGTAGCATATAGTGTGTATTGTATCTCACAGTAGCATCTGTTGTCCAGGTTGCAGTTTACAAATAACTTACTTTGTGTTTTGGCAAGTTTTTGGGCTTAGCAAGGACAACACAGAGGGGAATTTAGATGAAACAAATATATCTGTTCTCCATAATGTTGGTTTTCACAGGCAGTGGGATTCAAGTTCCTGCTATTTGTTGTAGAAGAGATGAACAAAAATACCCAGTCGGGCTGGTGATGTGTGTTTGTCATTGCTCTGCTAATATAAACCTTTCAGAAGTAAAGTTGAGCAGTGCAAATAACTTCTTGAAGCTTCTGTCAGTCTGAGGGAATCTCTGACTGACTTCCTGTACACAGAGTTTCCTAGTAGCTGTCTTATTTGCTAATTTGTGTTCAATTAAAAACTATTTTATGTGCTCAGAAACATTTGCTCAAATTCATAATAAAGCCCTATGAGCTGTGATTGTGTGAGACCAGCCTCAGCCCAAGGGCAGTGTGTGTAGATGCCTGAGGTATGTTCATGTCGTTTCTGTAGGAAAAAAAAGGGAGGGCAGTCATCATCAGCTTCAGAAGCAGAAACTTTGCAACAGCCCTGAAAAACATTGACTTACATGATGTTGTCACTGTAGGTTTAAATTGAACATTTTGCACTGGAGTTGTTTTGAGAAATAAGCCTGGAATAAGTAGGAGTAGCCATGGTACAAAGGGACAAATAGAGTCCGCAGTGATGTTGGTCACACCAGTGTTTTGGGGAATACATGCTGTTTTCAGAGTAGCAAGCTGAGTTACACTGTGCATTCTCTGTCAGGGTACCCTGAGAGAATCTGTCTCTCCTTTCCAGGTCAGATATCCAAGGGGAAGTCTGGGAAGGCTTTGTAATGCAAATCTGGCTAGCCCTCGTTCACACAAGGAATGCTAGATGCTGACCCATAAGAACTGAGTTCAAGATTTCTGTGAATATGTGGGATTTGAATTAACACGGTAATGAAAGCCTCTGAGAGTGCAAGGTGCATTCAGTATCTAAATCACTTACATGGTTTAGAAAACTAAAATTGGCCCTGTGATGATTAAAAGAGAGCTGATTGATACTGCTCCTTGGCATAAACATTAACAGGAATCCACCCATGGCACTTGGATGTTTGCTGAACAGCTGGTGTGCTTTGTTTAATAGAGTCAAAGAGAAAAGTGGTAGTAGGTTTGTTGGAGATGAACTGTGCTTGTGGTGGATGAGAGATAATTGAGATGTGTAATAAATGGCAAAGAACAGATCCAAACAAAAATGCTTAGTTATAATATTTGGTAGGGTTTTTTGTGTTAGAAAATATAAAGCACATTAACAAGCAAATAAGAATGTACCAGACAGTGACAACCATTAAATTTATACAAGGGAAAGATAACAGTGAGCTCAGTAACTCAACTCTGATAATGTGAAACATTATCAAACTCTGCCTGTGGGACAGAGAACTTCCTGGAGTATCCTTTTAATCCATGATATTTTCATGAAAGATAAGAATATGGATGCAGAACAGGAAAATTGCGAGTCCTGAGTTTCTACATTCAATAGAGAGACCCTGTAGTCCACAGTAGTATTCATATTTACCAGAGGATATTTGTCTTTTATTTCACTGTCTTGTTGATTATGTATCTCTTTTCACTTGTGTTCTTTTGTCTTGTGGAACACAGTCCAGATGCAAAATAAGAATTACAGATAAAATTACTGGGGGACTGGATATGTATCATTATTTTGTAATTTTATTGCAATACCGATCTTTTTCATTTTTCTTTCTTTTTTTTGCAGAGGGTATGAACTGTATGAACAAAGATCATGGGTGTGCACACATCTGCCGGGAGACACCCAAAGGTGGGGTTGCCTGTGAATGTAGGCCTGGCTTTGAACTTGCCAAAAACCAGAAGGACTGCAAATGTAGGTAGATGAAGATTAAATTTCAAATGCCCCAAAATGTCTTGTTTTCTTCATTGTTGTTATATTTCAGAAGAAGTTAACTTTGTTTTGGCCAAAGGTGGTCTGTAATTTTAGTAGTGTGGGTTTTTTGCTGTAGAAGGTGTGCTTGGGGATGGGTAAGGGGGATTGAATTACAGAATGTTGGCAGTGGCTCTGTTAGCAAAATGGTAATAACTTTTCTGCTTTTCTATGAATGCTGAAAAGTGAAGGATTCTTATAATTCAGACTTTCCTTGTAAGCAAAACAAATAAAGCCTAGTGGATTCTGGCTTGCAATATTTTGAAGGTCTACAATGACAGATGTATTGTTAAGACTACTGATAGATTTAATGGTAAACCCACTAGAGCTATCAAATTAAAAGGGTGAATTCCTCTTTTTTTAAAGGATACAAATGATTGCTCTAGTCCTAATTCCACTGCACACAGTCTCCTTTTCTTTTTATAACTTGGAAAGCATACAGCTGTATCATATATACTGTTCATCAGAGAAAAGCCCTGAGTGATATATTATTGAAGCTGGGGTGCTGAAGATACAGATATTCATTGTCCCACAAAATTCGAAATTGTGCTGTACAGGTTAAAGTAATTGACCTCAGCATTGTCACTCAGTAACTCAGCATCATCACCTGAAAGCTTCTGAATTGAGTCTTTCTGGTGGCTTCAGTGAGTGTTAGCTCTGACTCCAATAGTTTGCATTCCTACTTGGTAGCTTTGTGAGAGGCAAAAAGAAAAAGGAAGTGCAATAAAACAACATGAAATGTGTTTGGCGCTTTGCATAAGGCCTGTATTTTTGAAACAGCCTTTGTCACACTTTGATTTTTTTCTGCCTGAGATCTCCACTGTGTAAACATGCTTAGATGATATCAGTTGTCAGTACAAAGTCAAAAGAGACTCCTTTGAATATCATCAAGAAATGCCACAGGATATTGTACAGTCTGATTTCTGCTGAATATTAAGAGGCTGCACAAGGCCAAAGGCAAAAGCACAGAGGAAAATTGCCTTTATGGTAATTTTCATTCTCAATGTTTATTAGAACTGAACATTGCGTGCTGTTAATTGCAGTGCAGCATCAGCTGCATTGGTGAAGTGGGAGAGGATGTTTATTTGTGTTGTTCATTATTTGTTTCCTCAAATTTTTGTATTCTTTAGTAGTTTCATTACCCTTTTTCGTAGTGAGATGGTGGCAGGAGGATTAGATCCTTTTCTGGAACATTATTTCTAAATGCCTCAGGGTTTAATAGAGTGAAAAACTTGAATTTATTCTGTGCCCTGTGGTGTTCAGCTTGTAGTTGGAAGTATACTGAACTTTTGGTGACTGACCTCTAAGTAGGGATGCTGAGTTTTACAAGGCTTACTTCAGAGTACACCAACCCCTAAACCCACAGCATATTTTGCATGTTCCAGAGTCTTATTTAAAATAACTGTTTCTAGCCCTTCTAAATGCAAAGAAGTGTACAGCTGTAGCCAGATAGCCTGGGACAATAATTGTGAGATTACAGCAGGCTGTTTACAAAGGTCTAGTTCTGAAACAAAATCTTGTCTTAAGAAAACTTTTTCATGGCTAAGCATTTCAGTGGAATTGGCTTAAATCTTGAGCTGCAGCTTTGCAAGTACTGAGTGCAGCTCTGTTGAAGAACTGGAAAAGAGATACTTCCCACTTGTTAGCCTGGCCTGGGCCTGTAAGCCTGTGAACAGGGACTGGTGGAGTCTGATGTACCACTGCATAGTGTACCCCTAGGAGAGCCCTGTATATCTCTCAGTTATGCTGGTTTACATGGTCCCTCCAGGAGTCTGTGCCTTTCAGGGTTTGTCAGAGCTTGCTGCTTTGTTTTCTTATGTGAACAAGTGGCAGAAAACCAACATCTTGCTTGGGGATTTTTTATCAGCCAGTTTGCAATTGAATCAGACTACTGGGAGAGGTTTTGAAATTGGCCCAGGACCTTCAGTAATGACCCATGTGTTCCTCAAAGGAAAAATAAGATGTGAAGTTAGAAAGCATAAGCAATTGGAGGGAGGCTCCCTGCTTTTTATGCATGAATTACAAGATTGTCTTTACATCCTAATTACATAATCACATATCATCTGATCATTTATCATTGCATGCTAATAAGGCAATCACTATTGGTGTCTTGCTTCAGTCAGTGTACATGATGGGCAGTGCTCATTAAACAGGCTTGTGTTCAATAGCTTCCTCCCCATAATTTAGTGTCATGCCTTTCCTGCTGCACAGCATTTAAACCCTATTGTGAACATGAAATTTTTAATTTCCTCATGGATTTTCCCATGATACTCATTACTGTAATATCAAAGTGCTTTGTAGGCATTGGTAGTGTATTTTCCAAACATTCTTGTCAAGTTAAAAAGTACTGGTTTGCCTATCTTACAAATGGGAAATGAATCTAAGGATGTTACTGTCAAAGTCATTTAGTAGTGACAGGTGATTAACAAGAAACACACAGAACCCAGCTCAGCATTTATAGCACTTCAGTGATCCAAGCCAAATTCCCAATGGCTCCAGCTGTAGTTGCAAATACCATAGAGAAAAGAATATAATATCAGTAACCTGTAATAGAAGGGATTCGAGTGACTTGCCAAGTCCTAAGTAGGAATTTCATGGTGAAGGCAGAAACAGATTAGAGTTTTTAGGGCTCTATTCTCTGTCTGAATAAGACCATTCTTTCTTGACAGTCCATTTCTGATTTGCTACTCACTCTGCAGCAAATGAGAAAAGATTCTCCAGCTGTTTCCACAGACCTGACTTTTCCCAGCTCCACTGTGCACTAAATGAGACAGGAGTGTTCTCTACATTTGTCATTAATGATAGGTATCATGATGCAATAGATGCAATACCAGAAGTCTGGTATTTTGTAGCTTATGAGTGCTTAAGATTGCAGCCTTAATGGTTTCTTAGTGTAAATTTTAAACATGCAGTTTCTCAGGTGCCCAACATGCTAAGAAAACACTGAAGCAATGAGACTGAAAGGGACCTCAAGAGGTCATCTAGAAATAGACCAAGCAGAATCATACAAATCCATACATAATTCCTCTTATGAGCTGCATCCTTTAGAGCCAAATCATCAGTAAACTACCAGCTTTTGTGTACACAAGCCATTAGAAGAAGATGATGCTTTGTCAGTGATTTTCAGAGATCCTTGCTGGTAGCAGAGGAGAGACTTCAGAGTAGTGAATTTGGTTCCAGATTATATTGGAAAAGCAGGAATTTACCTCCTCTTTCTACATCTGTATCCATAATAGATTTAAAGTTCCTGCCCTTGAACACAATTGCATTAGA